TGTGGTCACTTTGTGTATCTTTGTACTCATCTTGCGTCTCTTTGTTATTACCTTGTGTCTCCTCGTAGTTGTTTTGTGTCTCTTTGTGTAATTTGGGTCTGTTGACCCTCAGGCCCTCTGACACCTCGCTCTGTGCCCGATAGGCCTTTTCATGAATCCATCCATGTTCAGAATTTTGTCCACTGTATTAACTCAGTCATCCAGTATGCTTTGCAATTGATAAGATGAAAATTGTGCACATGAAAGTAAGTCATCACACAGGTGTTAATATATATTTCAATTAGTGAAAACTGTGGTACTGTTCCAGGAAATATTTTACAGCAGTTTGCTACATAGTCTTTATAAGGGTTGTAAAGCTGTTGTTTCATGTAGTGAATTTACAGGCAACAACGACTCTCATCCTGTGAAGCAATTGTCTGCCACATGAGCAAAGTGGTTGCCACTGACCTCCGGAGTCTAGAGGAGATCCATCTTCAAAGTGCTGTCTGGGTTACTCTTATAAAGAAGCCTGCAGACCACACTGCCCACTCTGTGGGCCGCCCTCACTGCCTTCACCTCAATGCCATTAGGTGGAAGCTATTGTGCTCTTACAGTAAGTACTAACAAGCCCTTTCAGAAGAAGGTTCTTACCATTAGCTATATGGATCTTCAGCATCAAAACTGCACGTTGAATGAGATTTTTATTTTTAATGGTAAAGTTGGTTTCTATTGAATGCTTCACCTAGTTGGTAAGGGGGAACATGCTTTGAATGGTAGTTGTTGCTTTTTTACTGAAATGTAACATGCTATGCACACATTATGTTAAGTGTTATGCTTTGGTGTACCTTCTAGGTTTAATATCATTATATTTGCTTAGTTCTGAACATTAGAATTCCAGTGGGGCTTACCACAGTTGGCGAATACACAAACTCATCCTGATTATACTGTCCATAAAAATTGAGATGAAATCAGCAGCAGAGGGTTTTCCCGCTGAGCTAATGTTTCTAGGAAGGCTCATTCTGGGGGAACTACCCCATCTAGTTTGGCGGTGCATTCGCTTCTTTAGTCGTGATTAAGACAGCATTAAAAATATTGAACATGAACTTCAGTCATAATAAATGAACCGACGATGGGAGTGAGGTAATTATCTTACAGCACATTCATAATCATTCTGTCAGTGGACAGTTTTGCCTCTTCCTGTGAAATCCCTGGAGGCCACCTCATGTCACCCACCCATGTCATCCACGGATGGAGGCTGCAACTGTTTATCACCACCTGACCGATAAAAGTCCTCAATATCACATCACAGAGTCGGTGAGTCAGAGTGGTTTAATATGCATATTGTTGCCTGTATACTGTATGTATACAGGCAACAATATTTTGTATCTTATACAGAAATCCTGTCAGGTAACTCCAAACAACCAGCAAACAAACTGAAAGCAACAGCAACACAAAACAGCAACAACAGCTAAAAAACAAAACAGGTAAATCAAACAATACGAAACAACACAACCATCAACAAGGAAAATAAATAAGTAAATAAAAATAAGCATAAATTGGTACATTTTTCAAATAGATACATTCAATATCTAATTAATTTGGGGGAAAATGAAATGAGGGTGTCAGTGTCTACAGATCATTAACTCACTACTTTACTGTAGCAAGTGCATAGATGTGCATTAGTCTAACTATGTGTTTCATTCAAATTTAAAACACCTAAATTTGGTAATTATTCCATCTGTTATCTTCAGGACATGGTTGCTAAGAACCACACTGAGTTAAGAAAAATCACAAATATCAAAATCATGATGGCGCAAGAGGAAAAGTGGCTTCATCCTCCGGGGACCATGCATGTCTGTATAAAAGTAAATGGCAATCAATGCTGGTTTGCCTTTGTTTGCTTCTATTTGCTGTCTTTATTCATGCTCACACATTCACATCTACATTAGTGATGTTACTCACTGACACACTCCACATTTACATATTCATAAATACCTTTAATTAACCTTCATCCATTGTGTCCGTTCCTGTATTTGTCACAGCTTAGGAGCCGGGTTACGAGAGTATTTATCTTCTATTAAATCATGACTTACAGTGAGTGGCTTGTGTCTGATGAAGAATAATATAATATAATAAAGAGGGCAACATCAGCCTCAGATAAAGCAAAATATCTGTCTATTTGTAATAAATGGTATTGACATAAAAAGGCGTGTGTCAGCTCCTTACAACCGTATTGCTATGAGTAGTCATTACACTCTGCCCCACACGCTTGCATGAATCATGAGAGTCAATCAGTGTCACTGAGATCGACTCTGCTTCTTAGTGACAGATCCAAGTGATCAATGTTGGCTCACGTGCCTGCCACGAGCCAGGAAAGCTCCTTTTATTCAATATTAATCTCTGCGTTGTTGCAGTGAAATTCAATACACAGGGGCAGCTGCCTGAAGAAGTGGAAGTGATCGGACAAAAAATATGTAAATATGCTTAAATATAATGAAATATTTTCTCTTTTGGAGGATGATAACATAAACTTTAAGAGTCGGTACATAGTCACGCTCTACTTTGTCAGTCTGAACATTTTTAATATATATATATATATATATTTGTTACTGTCAGACAAAGCTTTCAAAGTCTACATTCGGGTTTGCATTAGGATAAGCAAATCCTTGTGGACCAGCAGAAAATGACAAGTGATTTACCTTGAAAATAGCTTGAAGTGCGATAAAAAAAAAAAAATAGTCGAGGACATTCTGTTTCCTGTGATGAGGCAAAAGAAAATGAAAACACAGGAGTGAAATTACTCTCGAGAGTAGAATGCAAGCTCTTATCTTGTTGGCTGAGGAGAGACGGTTATGTGCTTCATTTCAGAGGGAATTAAAGGTAAAGTAAAGCCTAAATGTTGGAGTTATATGAGCACAATTTTTACCTCAATGGAAAACTGAAAACAACAGAAAGTTAATTGCACTGTACTTCCTGTTTTACCCAACAACACAGCGCACAGCGGTTTCATGTCTGTGAAGGTCACCGTTTCCGACACTGAATAAGTTTTGTCAAATATTTCCGCTTTCAAATTACAGGGTGACTTTTAGAGCACATTCATTATCATTTTATTTCACACTGGAGCTCTGTGTTTGCGACAGCCTTCAGGGAAACAAGACAAATTGTATAACGATGTTCTGTTTTCTCCTTCTTGATTGGCATTTCATTTACAAGTCAGGTTGTTACATAAACTGTGTGATGTACACAGAGGCTGAAATATTTTTGGAAAAACATAATTTTCGAACATTTAGTGATAATGTAACACCGTCTGTATAAAAGAGACCAGACTTAACCAGCAGGGAAAACTAAAGATAAACCAAAATAGACTACACAGAAGTTAACTAATGTACTGCAAACAATACTAAATAAACCATGAGTTGCCCGTTAAGGGAAATGAATGTCTGATTAAAATACAATTGCATTGAGGCTTGAGATAACGAGACAACTATTGTATTTGTTACTTGTTTTTTAACCACATGCATTCCAGTGTTGATGCATTGCTTGTTACTCACCAAAAAACAATAACTCCATCATACTTTACTTGTTACAACAGCAGAAAAAAGTGATCACATTAATAATCAATTCCTTACTTTCTGTCACTGAGCCCTGGTTTGTCAAAAGGGGCCTTTAAACAACTCCAAAGCCTTCACGCCCACATGTCACATCTTCTGTATTTAATAAATGCAGGGACAGAATGTGAGACATTGTCATTTCTTCACTGCCAGGTAGCCCGTTTTAGAGATATCAATGACATCTTGGCAGAATGATGGGAACCCTTTTAGTCACACCATTTTTTAAATGTATCGTCATGTCAGTGTTTGTTAGTTGAGTGTGGAACGCTGGACACTTCCGACCCTCAATAGTCACCATCTTGGATACGTATCGAAAGAGAGTGAGAGGTCCCGGGTCCAAATCCCGGACAAAGCCCCCATATGTTACAACCCGGCTCAAGGGAACAACATAAATGGGAGACCAGACGAGTTGAAAGTAATAAACAAGCACATTTGTATAAAGTATAACGTTAACTAAAACTAAACAAACATGGAGAGTCAGTAATCAGTGATGTCAGCATGTGAGGATGATGTGGAAATGTTTGGAGCAAACTAAACTAGACAGCAGCCACGTCAGCCAAGGAAGAGAACGTCCATGTTCAGGTGGAGAGAATGTCTATTCTATTCCTATTTTGTTTCTATGGTACTAACGTAGCTCCTACATGGCAGTAGCCTACATGTCGTGGGTAGACAGCATGTCGATGGTATTAAAGAGTGCGGATCGCTACATCATCTAAATGGACCCAAGTGATATTTACAGGTACATTTATGTGATGTTTAATAAGCTGCAGCTGAGCTGCTAATCAGCTACCTAGCCTGAAAACGTACGTTAACAGTGCACTTTTGTTTGGATGCTGGTTCAACAAGTTAAAGTGCGGGACATGACATGTGTTTCTGTTAGATAAGAAGGAGACTTGAGCAGGAACGCTATGGCTCTTTTGTTGGGGGCTCAGTGTGACCGTGTGTGCTCTGCCTCTGATAGAACGCTGACCTTTATCATTGAAACGTTGTAATTGGATTCAACTCAAGGCAATCCCGTCCCTCTATTAACGCTTTTGTATCTTTCTGCAAAGTACTGTTGCCCTACAGTTAACCTTTAACACTTGCACAATGCATCTTCTCATCTCAAAGAGAGGCCTTTTAGATGGCAGTTGACCTCAGTTTCTTCCTAACTTTCCCATTGATGAGAGCTTTATTGTTTTTATAGTATTTCTGGGCAAATATTTATATTCCTTAAATATTTCTCTGAAAAGAAAAACAAGAGGCATCAGAAAAACGGAGCTTGTGCAGACAGAAAGGTCACCTACGTTTGATGCCTTCTGTGTTGTTACACTACTCATTTCTAAGCTGTCATAATCCTGTAATGCAGCGCTCATTTACTGCCTAAAGCGGTTTATTTTTAAATCAACAGAGAGAGAAAATAAAACCATGAACCAATGCATACCTCATTTATTTCATTTTCTGTATGTCATGCTATTACAACACAACCGTGATAGTCAGTGCTAACATTTTCATCCTCGGTGCGAGTTTGTCCATCACATCCTGTCTGTGCACGGAAAACTGTGATATGGTACAGTGTAGTTTAGTTGTACAGCTCTTTACATCAGCATGGTTGAGTCCGTTTTTTTTTTTTTCTTCTTCTAATTTGCAAAATAAACCTAAATCGACAAATCCACTAAACAGAGAGAATCCTAAACTAAGAGAGGCTTCGGAACAAAGACCAGAGTTGGAGAAAGAAGACGTAAAATAAAAAAATAAAATGGTGAGAGAAGTATTCAGGCACTTAGAAATACTCTCGGGTCCTTGGCTACACTGTGCTTCATTACATGGTACATGCATTTTAGAGCCTATCCTGTCATGAGGAGTATGAGGTTGCCTCTACAAGACAAGGCTTTAGCACATTCAAGAACAACTAATTAAAGGGATTTCAAGTATCTCACACAACATCAACGTTCCTATTTACATGTGATCCTAGTGTTCTCTACTTACGTATTCTCATTGCATATCCCCTAAGACGTCATTTAACAACCATTATTGTACAAAGTCAGTGACAAACGAAACATGAAGCGAGAGGAAATTTCACAAGATATCAGCAACACCCAGTATCCAACATGTCACCAATCATGGGATTCTTTTAGGTTATTATTTAGTTAGTATTTATAAAATGAGCTTTTTTTTGTGATAATCTATTTTCCTGTACTTTTACATACCAATCTTGTCTTTCATGTGGTTTACATTGGATTTCTCTAGGCGTATGTTCCAGCGGCCATGATGGAAAGGAAGCCATTTGAGAAAATGACAGCATCAATTTTCTCTTCACCCACTGCCGGTAACATTGCTGTACACAGTGTTATTAAAGGGAAACGATGCATGCACTTGCTGCTTGGCTTGAATGGGGATGGTTGCGTTGATTTGTCGTGACTGAGATGATCGCATAGTCTGCCATCCCCAACTCTGAGAAATCTGTCCTCCCCTTGAAAGGGCCCGGGAAGAATGAAATCGAGTGAAGGCAAACGGTAACAATTAACAGTAAACAGCATTGACTCTGAATGACTGAAGTAACCACAACACATCAACAAGAAGAGATCACTGAAACTGACATTTAGCCTTGTGCTTACTTCTGATCAGTACAGATATACAAAGACTGACTGACAACGGCTGACTGAAGACAACAGGAACATAGACTTCACAAACTGAGCGTAACGTACAGTACAACACAGCAACACCCTGTTCACCAATCCCTAAAACCTTAGATCCCAAAACATCAAATAAGACACTCTTAAATTCTTTGACAGAATTATCTCAACTCACTTACTAGCTAGTTTACGTCTCGCAGTCTTCATCTGCAGAGGGAGCTTGCTCAATTGTCACAGAGAGAGTTCAGTCTTTAAGGAACTTCGGCCACGTGATAATCATTCATACATGGTGGCAATTCTGACAAAACCCAGATTATGCTCAGGGACGTTTTAACGTCTTGTGCCAACGTTCTCGTATGCAACAAAATCTCCACATGGCAACTACGGTATGATTTGTGAAAGTTTGTGGTTATGGTAAATAAAAAAGTGAACGTGACCTCCACACCAACTCGCAAACTGAAGGGCACACAACTTCCTCCATCGGCACTGAATGATGCCGTTGGATGTAACCAGATTTGAGGTGCTGAATGGTTTCTGGTAAATACTGACTCCCATTGACTTGAATACTTTGGCTTGTTCCCACTGGGATGCTTTATGCGTAATTAAACAGTGTCCATCTTGGTCTTAAGTTGAGAATCTCACTCCTTGAAAGTATCATAACGTCCACTGGTTGTCACATGATTGAAGTTCCTGTTCAAGATAGCCATGTCAAGTGAGCACACTCCGTCTGCTGATGCACACTAGAGATTAAATAAATTGGTACATGAGTCAAGATTATTTTGTGGAAACTACTATTCCCGAGGTCAAAAATGAACTGTCTCACTCATTCAAGTTTAATTAGAAAATGCCATTGGATATCTACTGTTCAATATCCCGTAACATTCAGGGTCTTCATCAATTACAATTTCTTTTTGGCAAGAATATAGTGTAGTTTCCTGCCATAGTAATTCAGGTAGCCAGATTAATTTTCAAAACCAATGACTATATTAGATACCATTTGCTTTCAGCTAACTGGGCCAATTTTGTTCATGTTTTAAGGCATAAATATACTAGAAAAACAATTTAAAGGCATGTGTTCATACAAGCAGAATGGCCAGTTTGGAGCCCAAATAATGCTGTAAATTGTTATGGTGAGTAGCCCAAACTGACATGTAATGATGGGATTCTGTAGGGGTGCAAAGCATACACTGGTTGTCCGTTAAATTCTGAAAAAAGGGAAGCTGTAATGGACAAGAAAGCTCTTCGCTAAATCTGGAGGAACCTTTGGAATAGGACATGCCTCGTTGACCTGCAATGACATATTTGTTATTGTGAGACTGGTGCTAAAATGATCCTAGTGTTTTCCACTGCTCTATCTGGTTGAAGCTGTCAAGCTAGCATCACCTCTGGCCACACGCTGTTGGGTCTGTTCAGAAGAGGTCTTTGTTGCTCCTGAAGCCACACCCAAACAGTGATGTAACGCTGTGCTGACACACCCGGGTGTACACTTGTACATCACTGCAGCAAGGGGAGAATTTAAACCACTGAAGGTTTGTGCAGTTCAGATGTGATTTGAAATGATTTTAGATTTGTGCGACAATGACTGCAGAACAGACTTCCGTGTTTCTATGCAACTGTGAAGAGAGAAGGGGGAATCTGAAATGCTGCACCAAGAATAAACTGATGACTGCTACACATAGCACCATAACCCAAAGTCATATGACATGTTCTGATTCCAACACAAGGACAGACGCACTTTCAAATTCAAGGTTTCTGCATGTAAAAAGATGTAACCCTGTTTTTGCTTTTGTTAATAATTACATAATGTGACATATTCTTTGTTTGATAAATGGAAAATACATTTTGATAATAGAAATAAGTATAGAATTGCAAGACAGATATAAATAAACATTAATCTTAGTATGCTGCAAACGTCAAGAATTTTCTTTGACATAATTTACATATGTCTATTCAAATATCTCAAATTTTTCATGATTGTTAATTGTTATTTTGCTAGCCAGGACAACCTTTCAGGGCATGTTTATTGAACTATTAGCACACAAAGACCTGAATGTGTTTGGGGATAGTGACAGAGTAGTTCATGGAGATGACTCACTGTTTGGCAGGGTGTGTAGCCATCATGACAAAAACTATTTGCTCAGCATCTCATTATATCAAAAAGATATTATCATGTCATAATGATGTATTTTTCTTGTTTTTAATACAGACCACTTTACTAAGTATGAACAGGAAACGTATCACTTCATCCAGAAACGTTCTCGTTATTACACACAAGGGTGTAGGTTTGGTTTCATATTATATTAAATGATCTACTATTTCCAAAGTCAGCAAAGAACCTTTGAACTCAGTTACGATAAAATTAAAAAGCTTTATTGTAATTTACTGCATTATCTTTGATTGAAGGTCAGTGCTAGAATGAAGAGGAGTTTGTGTACTATTATTAGCGTACTGTCCACAGTCTTCATCACAATGAAGGTGGAGCAGCTTGTATGTTGCCTAAGAGGCAAATGTGGGGTAAAAAAACCAGTGTATTACAGTGTGGTGTCTGTAGTTGACTCACTATTGCTTGTACAGCTTATTTGCTGTGAGTGCATAGTGATAACTGAGGGAGACCATATTAACATTCAGATCAGAGCTTCTTCCATCTGGGCTTTGGTGGTTGGAGAGTAAGAATGTGGTATTTATTTTTACTTTATGACCATGATGTCATGGTTTGGTGGTGTGGCTAGAAATCAATTTAATATGTAGCAATGAACCGATATCGGTCTATTTTTCAGGCTTTAATTGTATCTTTTTCCTCGGGACATAATATAGAAGTTGTTTTAATGAGCTAAAGTGCTGTGTCGTTATAATAACAAAGGTTTTTTGTTTTAATTAAATATACTGATATTGTGTAACGAAAACAGTTTCTTGGTATGACCGGATACAGTGATATGTGGTTGTAAAAGTTTCTTGTTAAAACTCAATCATTTTGCATGTAGTAATAACAAAAAACAATGTCATTGTCTTGTCCACCATGAATACATTTTTCTCATAAAATCTCCTCGATTATTAATCCCAGAGCTACTCAGGAGCCTCCAACTAACCATGTCATCTTAGCTAAAAAGCCTTATTCTCAAGCCTAACCGCAAATCATAATTTGGATTAGCATTACAATTATAAAAATGTCTGTATAAAACGCATAATCCACAATGGCATTATTGAAAAATAATGCATGCTATTGCATGGGCTATTTGCCCCCACATTTACATCCACAGACTGCATTATTGTTCAATAGCTGCACAAAAGTAGATGATCCTGCTTACACCATGGCCACTTGCTACATTTGAAATATAAGTGTTGTTTCTTTATTGTTTGGGGCAGTACATTCTTTAAATGTAATCTCTGTATTGGCACTATCTTTGTCAACCTTGTAATGAGCGTTTCATTCCTACTCCAACAAGCTCAAGACTCGTAAGACTTGAATTAGCAGCGTTCCAGCAATGACAATTAATTAATAATGCCAAAGAGAACATTGCATCAGACAAGTGTGATTATCTGAAAATAATCCAGACCTTCTGACCAATCAGGACTCTATGGAGGCCCATTTCCGCCCGGAAAAGGAAAAAGCATATTTAAAATCCTAGGACTGACAAAAATAAATGGTAAATGAAAAACAATGAGATAGCATGGCCCTGATCAGCTGCTGCTTTCCATTCCTCATCAGTTTTAGGTGGCTTTTGTGTCATTAACTTGGAAAAAATGTGACCCTGCACCGTGGCTGAGCTAATTCAACCTGACTCGTAATCGTGACGTAGCAGGTAACGTTGACAAGCTAGCTAAAGCTAGCTATAATTTTGAATCACTATCTCTTAATTTTCACTTAAAACGTAAAGGTGTTGAAGTCATTTAATACATGATCATTTTGAGTGGGAAAGGGACATTTTGTTAGATCTTCAACAGGCCGACGCAAAAGCCGAACATTGTTCATTTGCACACTCCACCCACATTGCAACGATACGAAGACGGTTTAAACGTTTCCCTTCAAGACAACATGTCACAGAATTTGCATTTAGAAAGTCCAAATTTCTACAAAGTATTTGATAATGTTGAGTAAGTATTTATATTTTTAATCATTCCTAACCTTTCCTTTCCTTTGTTACAGAAATGGGCTTCCATAGCATCCAGTATTCTCTGTATCTGCGACATGGTTTTCTAAATGCTTCAGTAAGTGCTTACCTGTCTCTATTAAAATAGTTTTTTCATTTTGAATTGTCTGAATAAAAAGCTCAAGGCAAGCAGGGAGATAAGACTACTTTATATCTGAATACCCCATATCCAAGGCCTTACTGGTCTAAAATATAACACAATGTATAGATCAAATAGTCTCCATAAGCAGGCAATGGCCTCAGAAATGCTGTCAATATAAATATTTAAGTTCACATTTAATTTGAAGGGGAATGAAAGAAGCAGTTGTGTTTGCAAAACTCAGAGTACATTTTAACGTGGTGCTTTGAGATACCAAGACGAGAGCTCCGGGAAATGAAGTTTAGGGTGTCAAGTCTTACAAATATATTTCTTTTTATCAGATATTCCAAATTTTCATCTATAAAAAGCCATTATCATGTCAATGTTTGCACCTGAGATTAAAAATTTCAAAGCTCCATATGCAATTTTTGTAGAAAAGACAATGTTGGTGTTAGACTATTAGACTCTCTGGCCTTCCTTCTCATCTCATCTCAGATCAGACATCAACAAACCCTGGTAAGAACATACGACAGAATCCCTAAAATACAAAGATTTCTCAGCAGATTTGACGCTCACATCACCTAAAAGTTTGAAATAGTAAACACTACAAATGTGGGTCCTGTTACAATAAACATTTTGGTGTTCATTAGGTTCGTGTCACTTTGAAACAGCTGTCAGACAACAGTGCTTATGTCGTCAGCCTCGTCGGGTTTCTTGGGCTTGCTGGGGAGAGACTTGAGGTACTCCAGGTGGCGTCGGGCGTCCTCCTGGTTCTGACGGACATAATACACTACATAAGAAATGACCATGGCAAACCAGCCGAACATGGTCACCAGCATAGCGTAGTCTGTGGTCCTTTTGGCCAGGTTACAGAGGTCAGTATCCACCGCCAAGAAAGGTCGACCCTCCTGGTCACGGTGCTCCGAGCTCCTGCAGAGGACCCGGGCGACGGCCTCGTGGTTGTGGGCCATCCCGCCGATGGCCTGCTGGAGGGCGCAGTCGCAATGCCAGGGGTTATCGTCCACAATGACGCGGGCCTTAAGCCGAGCAAAGGCATCCTTGTGTACGCTAGTGATGCGGTTGTGGGAGAGGTCCAGCACCTGTAACGTCGCCTCGATGCCGCTGAAGGCACCTTCCCCTAAGGTCTCCACCGCGTTGTATGAAAGGTTGAGCTCCCTCAGGAGCCTGAGTCCGTGGAAGGCTTGATCCGGCACGGCGCCTATCTGGTTGTGGTCCAGCCTCAGCAGGACGGTGTCGACCGGGAGGCTCGGGGGGATCTCTTTGAGGCGGGACTGACTGCAGGTCACGTTGAAGCCGTGGAGGTGGGGGTCGCGTTGGCAGACGCAGCCCTTTGGACACATGCTGGCCGAGGGGAAGCACAGGGCCATGAGGACAAGGCTCTGAAGGAGCAGGCACATGGGGATGGAGCGCGACAGCCACAAGTCCAGCAAAGTCATACTGACCGGCCGTCAGCAGCATCCCGCCTGGGGCCACAACACTGCCACTGGTCCCTTACACACATCGCATAGTGGCGACTGGTCCTCACTGTCTGCCTAGTGGAGATCCTGGAGTGTGAACAGATGTTATCATGCTGCGTTGAGGCCTGAAATAAGATTAAACAGAAATACAAGGTGAAAAAATAAGATTAAGGTATACCTTTAAACTTTTTATGTAGTGTGGCATTTTATTTGTTGTCTCATTATCACCACTGAATTTGGATACTTGTGTTAGCTTGATGTGAATTTGACAGGAGCCCATATTTAAGTAAGGATGTTCAAATCAAGTTTTCTGGCCCAGAGTGTGATCCAAGCTCTTTTATATTCAGTATTTGCTGTCCAATTCCAAACTTATACTAACTTAAATATCAATAAATACGTACCTGACAAATTGAAATAATAGCTATAGCCTACTAAATCTAACACACATGTTTCGTATGTGTGTAAGTTGGCCCACTTTTTTGGTCCAGACTAAAGCAAATATGGGATGGATTGAATTTTTTAGAGGCATTCATGGTGTTCAGAGGATTATTCCGAATGACTTTGACACCGGGTCATCGTGCCACTCTGATGTTGACAGTGTTGGTTCACTATTTTATGGATCAACATACAGTACATACATTCATGGTCCCCACAGGATTGTCATCACTTAGTGACTTTTTATCTAGCGCCTAATGACATTTCTGCCCTTGGCCAGATATCCCTTGGTTCTATTACCAGTACTGTATTTTTTACATGCATACCTCTGTCTCTGTTGTGTGTAATAATCCTTGTACTCATATTAGGTGTAAGATATGGAAACTTTTATTCTCATCTCTTATCCAGGTTGCTGATCATCTGTGAGGGTTTCTTTGACTCCTCAACAAATGACAGTCTCTCATCTCCGAACTGAAGTGCAGGAAAATCAGTATCAGACATTTCAGCACACACTTAGCCATCAACAGGACTGCATAGAAATGTATAAAGAAACGTTGATGTGTTTTTCAGCTGAATATATTCTGTATTAGGAAAAGCCTGAACCTTTCCCTTGATGCGATTTTTAGTGTTTTATCAGGACAGAAGTGGGCATTTTTTGACAGCTGTCCTTCCCAGAGCAAACACCTGCCTCCATAGCCGAAAGCTAGGCAATATTATTTAAAAATGACTGGATTTTCCCCGATCCTGAGCCTATGGGTCAGTTCAGGACATCCTTAGATCCACTTTCATTTTCATGTAGATCATTAAAAATGAACAAAAACTTCTGTTTTACTGATTAACAGGAGTTGTTGTTGCTGAAAACTGCTACACGGAACGTTTGCATGGTACATAAGTATGTGGTTATGTAGTTGTAATTAATTATAATCTGGTTGTCCAGAGAAAATAAAGATCATGGTTCACAAAAGCAACAGCTAACTGTTTCAATTAACATTATGACAACAAGCGTCAGAATCCTCTCAAAATCAGGTGTATATTGCAGCGCGACCATTAACTTCACTTAACAATGTAACGCACACAGAGACATCTGTTAGACAGAATATTTAAAAATAGATTAGGGCTCCTGAGATCAGTTACAAAAATGTCCTCTCCTTTTATTCCCCTCCAACTGTCTAGCTCACTCATGCCTAACAACATTATGCATAATAAATAAACACAGTTATATCTTTCTATCTGTGAAAGAAGTAGGAAAACTAGAAGTACTGCCTCGCGCTTGTACGCCTCTGCCAACCAAACCAGTTTCCCATCCAAGTCTGTGCAAAATGTCACCACTTCATCATTTTATTCTATCAGACATTTGTGTGAAATTGATAATAAATATCACGTTCACTAGTATGAAGCTGGCGGACTTACGACGCACAATATAATGCCGTAAACATAATGCCACCGGCCACGGCTGTCTCATAAATATACCTGTAGATAGTATTTCCACAACAACATTGATGCACTTAATTATTTGTGTGGATGGAAATAATCTGATTCATGATAAGTGGAGAATAAAGATGACTAATTCTACATCCTTCACCTCACACTGATCTCAGACACATCTTATTGTTGGAGTGAGTCACAGTTTTACAGCAGATTATAAAGAGACAACAGCGCTATAACCAGAGGTGTTCACATTTAGTGTCCTTCATACCATCATCCACAGAGAGAAGCATCCATTCTTATGTTCACTGCAGCGCTTTAGCAATTACTCTTCATTGAACCCCGGTAGCTCTTTTTTGTTTTTTCGGAAAAATGTATTCATGCACAGGTTTTACAGTCCGAGTTTGTTTACGATACAGAGGGGCTCAACAGAAAAATAACCTTGAACTTTATTTCATTTTTGTACACTTGAGGGCATTAATATTTCTCTAAGAGACCTTGAGGAGTAGAATAGAATATATGAAAATATATAATCTTTCAGTTCTCTGTCCCAGCTCATTACTGTCTAGCAGCAGCCTAGTGGAGAGGCGAGGGATTTGTGAGGACCAGTGGCAGCATACAGGCCCACATCAAGCTGTTTACCCAGCTGCTGCTCTGCCACGAGAAGCTGTTGCTGTATAGAAACCGGCTTTGTCTATTAAACCTGCACTGTGCTAATGGGAGGCATGAGCTTCTGACAGACTAAAACCATGTCGTAAATTACTTGCTGGTTTGATTAGGAAGAAGAGCCACTGCACTCTGGAAATAACAAAAGCTGTAAGTGGATCCGGGGGGGGGGGGGTGAAACAGAGGATTATCTAACAATACAATTAAAATATATATAATATTATATTTGTCGAGACGATTTCTGACCATTTGCTAGTTCACATGAACGGTATTCAACTGGTGAAACAGAAGGTGGCTTTAAATTGTTAAATTAGGTTAGCGCTGATCGCCATTGTTTATTTATAAAAGTGCCTACAAAACAACACAATGGCCGTTTTATGTTTTGCAGGTATTTGGTCATAAACCAAAGTTTTTAACGAATATACAATTTTGAGTTGAGGACAAGAAGAAAAGTCTGAGGATCACCGGATTTATTACCATTCGTCCTGATGGAAACACGAACGCCTGTGCCAAATTTCATGGCAATCCATCTGAGACATTTGTCTCACAACTTTTTCAACAACAAAAATCACCAGAGCCATTCATCTTCAGGGCAGCAGAGATGTGTGCAAATGTCAGACAAATCCATCTGATGCTTTGAGATATTTCAGTCTGGACCAAAGTGATGGACCGCCAAAGCACTTCCCGCCCTACAGCCACACGGCCGGCGTGACTAAAAAACCAATTGAGCTGTCAGATGGAATTTGGAGCCATTAGCTTGAGATGATATGAATATGCTGCTGTGTGACGTCTTATTGCTGTATGTTTAACCAGCAGCCCTGTTCCAGAGTGTTGTCCTAAACAGCTCAAGGCTCATAGATAGACTGTGTGCAACATTCTTAGGTTTTATTTAGCACGCATTCCAAAAAACAAAGATGTTTAAAAGTCTGGTGATATTCTGTCATATAAAGTTCTGTCGACAAATTTCATGAAAAGACCCGAATCAACACTGAATTCATTTTTCCAACATTCTCCTTTGTGCCACAGAGCTCCATTGTTGTCCATAAACTATTAAAACACATCACTGAGACACACTGTTTCTTGACTCAATCCCACAATCACCGTTCTTCTGCCACAAATACTCACTAGACCACCAAATGTGGATTAATCTGTCGATGAAAACAGTCCCAAACAACTGCTGTTTAAAAAAAGAAAATCAAACTAGTGTGTGACATTAGCATCTCCAAAGTCACTGAGTGGGTAGATTTGTCCAAAAAGAAATGAGGCGGACTAACACATCGTTGGTTTTGGTGTTTTCATGAGATTTCACTGACAATAAGAAAACTATTAGCATTGTTAGCTTATCTTGTGGTCCTGACTTGTAGAGGGCCTTTTCCTGAGAGACGATGGATCAACAAAAGTGGGAGAAAAAAAGCACAAATAATAATGGGTTTGGGTTTTTATATTTCAGGATATTGAACTGAATTCAAATATGACCTAATCTGTAATATCTTTTGAGCGTATCGGGTAGACATGATTTGCATTTAGGTCATAAATCAATCAACTTATAGCTGGTGCCCAGTGCACATCAAGATCCACTGGCTGAATGCACTCGTCCATTTCTGACATACTTGAGTGGAATCTGCAGAATGTATCTGTAGATGTTGAAGAATGTCTTACCACTTCAACTATTCTGCCCTCTATCAACAGTTATTGTCAATATGTTTCTTTTCTCCCTCGTCACAGTCTTGTTATGAGCTTAAGACTATACTTTTAAAGGATCTAAAAGGTTCTTCCTGCACATTGTTGTCTACGTTTCCATAGCGGCCTAAAAGACCTGCAAATATCAGGCAAATTTGTCAGAATGAGAAAGTAACATGATATGGGACGAGGGCTGCCGGTGGTGGCCGTGTTAAACGTACCACCATTGCAGCCTGCAGTTCAATTTGCCAATTTGCTGCATTAACTGATGCACGTTTGATGTAATGAATAAAATGCAGAGAAGGAAAATGAAACCACTGTCTCCACAGTAAATCATCTGTTGATTGTTTGTTATTTATTTATGCTTTAGAGCGCATCCGCCATGAAACAATCAGCAAATAACTTTGTTTTTCATTCACTCGCTCTTCTACCGCTCGCCCTTTTGTTTTTTTTAGAACGAGTCCGGAAGCCGAGAGCAAAGCCAAATTTTACATTTAATGTTAACTAACAAAGGAAAAAAGCTCTCCTCTCGTATTGTTTTGAAGCAAGACGCGGGAACTTTAGCAGCTGCAGTGTCTACAGACAATAGCAGTGCTTTTATGGAGCAGTTGCAAGCGACCTCCACATGTGTAGCTCTATCCCGTCATACGCTAGCCGTGCTAAGGCTGCATGTCTTTCTGTTGTGTGTTTTCCCTTGTGATTTATCCCCACCACTCTGCCAACAACTTACCCACGTTTGGTGGCTTCTAATTTCAGACCCTGCTCTTTTCCATCGCTCTGCATTTAATGTTAGACGTAAAAAAAAAGCCGTGGCTGTGCCGGTTGAGAGAGGTCGTTCTTAATTTTCCTCCGTGTGAGACAAGATTCCACTTAATCTTCTGAACCAACAGTTCGTCTCATCTACAGTCTGCCAAAAAAACTTCTGCTGTATTTAAAACTAACTCACGTTTCAGGATGTGAAATCCTCCATCGAGCATTTTGGTTAGGCCCCAAATTGAATACAGCACGGTTACCAGTGGATTCCTTACACAAATGGATTTGTATTATACTCGTTTTTAGAAGGTAGAGAGAAGCTGGTGTTCTTACACAGAATTTCAAGCAGTGTGTGCAACCGAGATGTCTCCTTGTCGTGTCAGAGGTTCTCGAGCAACACCTCCGCAAAAGTTAGATTTTTCTTCCCAGTGTTTCAAGGATTCTTGGCCTGGGTTATTAAACCACCCACTATTATTCATTGATTATGTAGCAGCACATTAAGGTGCCTAATGATTCAAGGCTGGTATGGGAATAAATGTCCCATTCACACAGACAGAACAATGCCGCTGTGAGTAATTTAGAAAGCTTCCAGGAGATTTTCAGAGCTTTCTCAATTTAAGATATTAATTGTTTTTGCTTGATATAAATGCTCAATAGACCCGGACTACGAGATGATACAGAGTGTTAAAGGAGGGTGGGGGGTTGTTCCTGTTCCAGCTTGAGGGGGCGTTCATGTTTACTCTTCTAGTTGGGAATGCTGTTTTGAAGCTTTAAGTTTTAGCATATTAATTAACCCCATCTTTGATTTTTGGCTTTCTCTATCTTGTTTTTTTGCAACCAGAAGTGACACTAAAGGGTTGAGCTAAGTACAACTGAACACTGAATGAGACATTTTTAGGCGACCAAAATGTTACGGCTAACTTTCATGAACCTAAAACACACCGATAAAACACAGATCGGTGGAGCCCTGTCAATCACAAGGTAGCCACGCCCTAAAGAATACTCTGCTTTGTGGGCTAGATGAACATCACGCTGTATCGAAGAAGACTTGAAACTAGAGATCGGAAACTCCTGTTTACGATGTTTACTGAGGTAATGAATCAAGTGTTAAGTAGCGTTATTTTCTCACTTCTATACAATCCCATTTGTTTTGGCAACCAGAGGAGTCGCCCCCTACTGGCCATTAGAAAGAATGCAAGTTTAGCTTAGCGGCTAGCTGACTTCTCCTTGCTCATAGCTCTCCTACTCTTACTTGGTTTAAGTCACTGCATCTCCCGACAGAACACCTCGGTTGAATTTCAGCCTGCGTGCACGTTTTTTTGCAGACTAACAATGTTGACACACAGAGCAGCTGTTATCGTTAGCGAGAACAACAAGTTAGTGGACTGTCGAGTGTTTGAATGCCGTCTAACTGTCCGAGGGTGAGACGAGGGAGAAGTGGTTGAGTGATTTGTAAATGGAGGATAACAGCGCACACATTCATAAAGTCTCTCCTCCAAAGCGTTCATAGTGGACGGACGCAGTTGTGAGATAAATTAAAAGAGGAGCACTTGTGAGTGAAGAGGGCATGCTCGTCAGATTGTCTATTTTGTAAAGTTACAGAAATTGTAAAGCAGCCCCCTCTTGATTCCACTACTGAGGTTTTAAACACTTATAGTTGATCCAACAAGGACTTTGTTTGAAGCACACCGAGGCCTTAACCATTGTTTCAGCATTTCAACTAGCATTTTCATGACTGTATTTCAGTGTTTATCAGGTCTTGACTACACACACTTGCCTAAATAGCCATCGAAAGGCTGTTGGAACAATTTTCACTTCTCAGCAAGATCTAATCTTCTATCTGAGGGATTTAGAAATAGTTTTTTGAAGGTTTTGAAGCCTCGAGTTCTATGGTCTATTTTACTCTAAATGGACCATAATTTACCAAATGAACATCATGCTGTATTGAAGAAAACTTGAGACTATAGTGATTGAGACCATAATCTCATGTTTATAATATTTACTGAGGTAATAAATCAAGTGAGAAGTAGAGTCATTTTCTCATAGACTTCCATACAATCTGACTTATTTTTGCAACCAGAGGAGTCGCCCCCTGCTGGTCAGTGGAGTGAATGCAAGGAACTTCCGCATTGGCTTCACTTGTCAAAACCAGTGGTTGCCGCCTGTCACACACACACATTCACACACTGATTGCAGAGGCTGCCATACAAGCTGCCACCTGCACATCGAGATCTAAACTAACACACATTCATGCACAGACTTCTGGAAATTTGGGGTTCAGTATTTTGCCACCGATTAGAGGACGACCCGCTCTACCTCAGAGCCACAGCCGCTCCAACATGTTAACAGCATGTTCTGCTACCCCAAAAAAAACACTTAATGCAGCTTAAAAACATAAAGCTTGACATTATCGTAACGAAAACATATAGATCGGATAGAACAGTAACAGGGGTCAAGATTAATATATCAACCTGTCAATTTACCATTCAGCTGATGTCACTGTTAAAACTCTTACATCATCATTTGCACAACATATTGTCAACATGTGAAAATGCTAATAAACAGGTCTGATTCATACACAGCAGTCATTCATGGTGTCTGCCTCTTGGTGATAGCTGATTATTATAGCGCTACCTTTAAAGGAGGCAAGTTTTAGGAGAATAAGGTGGTCTCTACCTGCATCAAAATTGCCTGCAATCACAATGTCTGTGCTTTTCCTGAGAAGAGAGGAGCTCGCAATCAAGGAATTATTAGCCTACTGGTGAGAAGCACCTACTGTCCCTCTGTCTTTTTTACAGCAAAACTGATTACAACGCAGGGCTGGCAGAGCCGACATAGCTCAACCTCCACCGCCTCACAGCAAAGCTGCTTCGCTGCTGTTCCAGGGTTGGATTTGTGAAAGGTCACAATACCTCACCTGTGAGAATGAGGGATTATATGCTGTGCATCAGCTAACAGGCTAAAATAATAGGTGACATCTATCCGGCAAGTGGACAGCTCTATACATATGTGCATCTGATTACTCAAGCACAGGATTCTTGTTTCTACTCCTGAATTGTATACACCTCTTATTTTCATATTCTTTACTTTTTCTTCTCTATTTATCTGTACTTACAACACCTGAATGTCCCCTCATGAAAGGCTTATCTACAAATAAACAATTCAACAACTCCACTATGAATAAGCAATATGCACAGACTATATAGAGGTAAAGTGCCTTCCACGTTGGCAAACATGCTTGGACACCTTTAACTAGATTTAACATCCTCAGTTCGGCCTATATCAAATGCAAGCAGCACTGCTATTCATTTAATTTAAGCGTTTAGAATCGGTTCCCTGTTATTCCAACAATGTTCTCCTACCAGAGTAAATCCATAAGAAGACAGCTATTTCTAAAGGTTGTTTGGGTTTGAATAGCAATTGACACACAAACAAATAAGACATTAGGCCTAAAGGAGCAATTTTAATCGAGCTTGTCTGAGACGCTTTCTCTATTCCAATGAGACAGGACTTCATAATTGGAGTGGGGTTTTCCTCGTCCGTCAGGAGTCGGGTTGACGCCTTGAGAATGTGACAGGCGGAATAACCAAATATGAATCAACGCAACACCCTCTGGCCGGGATGCACCTGAGGTCTGCACGGACAGCAGGGAATACACAGAGAATCCTTGGAGAATCCAGCTGTTGCCTCACATGTGGAGAACCTCCCTGCCTTAATACAACTATTGCATTGCCGAATGCATTAGATTCAAAGCTCTCCTTTTATATGACATGGCTTTGCAAACACCGCCTGTCGTGTCTATGACCTGAGCAAACAGCAGCAGACAACAGAACAATTACCTTCCCAAATAGACGTAATGTTATCAGCGTTTGCAGTCCAATAAACTGTGGCCCCGATACGCCTCATGAATGGAAAGAACGTCACGCAAAACTCCATTCAAAAATATGGTATTTTAATATATCAATCTTTACTGACAAGCAACAGTTAGACTTCTTGTTAAATAAAACGCAGCTTCTGAATCTATAGGGGCAACATTATATTTCGGCATAGGCTACACCGAACACACCAAGCAACAATTATTTCTGTAGCATTTTAACTTATATATATAAATGAGATCCATATTTAATTTAATTTGATATGTAGTGTATTTTCGGTAATAACCCCAAAAACATGAAATAGTTTTGTCTTTGATGGCGTTTGGCACGACGTTCCTTCTGAAAACATCACGCATCAGCCTACCTGAACTGCCGACACCATATCAAAGCCTGATGTCTAATTGTGAGAAGAAGAAGAAAAACAGAACGCAACCTGCCAAGCACCAGTGCCCATTTATAATCATCCAATATCTACATCATGAATCAAATATATCAAAAAAAACCAATTCCTCCATGCACAAATGAATAAAAAAGGCAGCCACCATAGCAGAGGACAGACAGCGCAACACAATACGGCAGACAGGCATAAGAGCAACAGGCGACACAAGTCTCCTCACCTGCAGACATAGTCATAAGCTGAAGAAATGAAAACGCTCATGTCATATGAAGCAGTTCAGACAGGCTGTGGGGGCAGCCTGCCTGCTGAAGTATCCGCTCACTGATGAACAAGTCGCAGTGTGAATTCGCATCTTTACCTTTCAGTATGAAACACTGCACAGGAGTGAATGGGGAGAAAGGGAGGGGTTCTCCTTGTGAAGCGAGCGGGTAACGAAGACAACACCACGTCCGGTCTCAACATTCAGTGTAAAAACATTTAAATGCAAGTTGATGTTAGAGGGAAATAACTGGAAGGTAATGTAAAATATGTACTCATAATTAAGGGAGAATCAACGAAATATAACTACAAGTGCATTGAGGGTTTCGTTCTGGATCTTTTTGTGTTTCTAAAAATATATGAAGCGACTGAAAAGATTTAAGGAACCCAGTGCAAGGACTGGACTTTTATTTATGTATTGTTTAACTCATCCCCATAATTCAGGGTCGGATAAACCTGAGGCTCTAGAGTAAAAGCAAGATGCTGAGCCCCTGTAACCTTTGGGTTAACAATGTATGAACGTCTTAAAATATGATTTTAAAGCAGGCAAGATAAGGTTTGAGTGGCTGAAAGACAAGATGATTTTATAATAATAGTGGAGTCTGTCCATTACAATTTGTTGATCTTATTTTATTTACGTCATTTAATTGAATTTTTCATATTTTGAAAATGTACTTTTTGGCATTTGACATTTATTCAATTGTGATAGTGGCGACATGAAAATGGACAGGAAACATGGGGAGAGAGAGGTGCAGCTCAGGTCCCCGGCTGGAATCAAACCAGTATTTATGGTGTGAGTTTCAACCACTAGGCCAATATTTCCCTTTTTATTGTGTTTTCAATTGATGTGTTTATGCATTTGTTTTCTTTATTCAAGCACTTTAAATTACATCTGTGATTTAAAAATACAAATACTCGACTCTTACCTTGCATCCCACAGTACTGCACTTTAAAGGCCCAAACAATCAATCAAGCTGTCATCCAATCCTCAATATGAGATAAGACGTTATACAAGATAGCTGACCTGTCTATCAGATAAATAGTGGTGGAAACACTCCCAACGCTCCCCAAAGTGACAAACGCTTTGCTTTTATTTTGAAAGCAGAATCCCCTTGTTTCCTGGTGGTGCCGTGGCTGAATGCAGCAGCTTGATGCAGCTGTGGCGTTCACCATGTATAGAGCAGATGAAATGAATGGGAAGTCATCATGTGGCAGACAGGCAATATATCTTGCATTTGCCTGTGTGTGTTAATGACAATTCATTTCCAAAGGACAGTTATTGTACTGATCTATTATTATTTTTGAGTATTGTGTGGGTGTCATGTGGTGCAGTTGGGGGTGGGCGGATTATTTGAAGGACCAACAGCTGCTGGTGGTGCCCTGTAACATACCAGGGATTACAGACAGACTTTCTATATCTATATCTATAGGCCTACAGTACATAAATGCTGTCTCTACGACAGAGTTCGTTTTTAATCATATAATGTAACATTTTACACCTTTATTCCTGTAGCTGAATGTAAAGCCGTGTTGGGAAAAATTAAAAGGTATGAGTGGTATTCACTCATAAATTGTCCTGGTGTTTCAGCGGTTCACACCGACCCAAAGAGAACCAGGTCACAGCACCGCACATTCCTACCGATCCTGGCCACGGCCGTGTGCCTGGAAGCCAATCATTCTACACCTTGTACTGATCAAGACACACAGACTTTATAGTGGTTTAGCTTCTTTTTATTGTCTCTTTGTAATCATTACGCATCTCTCTGTGTTTTTTGTCTCTTTGTGGTCATTTTGCATCTCTTTGTAGCTGCTTTATGTCTTTTTGATGTTATTTTGTGTCTCTTTGTAGTTATTTTGCATCCCTTTTTCATCTTCTGTCTCTTTGTAGTTGTCTCTTTTTGCAGTCATTTTGTATTTGGCATGGCTTTGCAGTTTTTTAATGTCTTTTTTTAGTCATTTTGCATCACTTTGCAGTTGTTTTATGTCTTTTTGTAGTCATTTTGTGTCTCTTTGTAGTTGTCTTGCCCCCTTTCATAGTCGTTGTGAGTGTCTTTCTGTCTCTTTGCAGCTGTTTTGCGTGTCTTTGTAGTTGCTTTGGTTTCTTTACGGTCTTTTTGTGTATCTTTGTTGTGAAGAATGGGACACGGTCTTGCTATGTGGTATGACAGTGTAACTGGAGCTGTGATGTTGGAGTGCAACGTGTGTTTGGATTATTTGTGTGTAGTTTGTATGCCTTTATTTCTTGTTAAACAAACGTCTGTTTTATAGACACATCTAATCATTAATTTTACAACATAGCCTGAACTTGAGTGTTGGCAATACATTGATGAATGCAGGTTGATCAGTCTGCCCCTTCAGTCTTTCCATTTTTGATTGATCACCAGGTATCGTGAGGCTAAGTGTTGTCTGTAAATGACCAACTGTTTGATCGAGGCTGAGACTTGAGCTGGAGACGACAGTCCGTTGCTGCTCTTCTGTGTGACTGTACTGCAGCAGCCTCCCACTCAAGCTATCCATCAGTAGTAACTGTCACCAGCATCATTTCCCCATTTACCACACCGACAGTGAATATTCACGTATCTTATGTGTCTCAAATCTTAGTGTGAAAGCCATGGTTATTAATATTGTCATCAAAAAGGAATTTACTCTGCTGCCAAAATGAAGAATTACAGTTCTCTGGAGACTCATACATTCCTCAGCAGTGGATGCATACTCGTCGTATTGTGCTCGTCGTGGATTTACGCTCCGGCCAGTGAATCAGGCGAGTGATTTTGCTGTACATCAGATTGATCCATCTTTGGAACAGGTCCTGTGCAGTGTTGTGACGTATTAGGTCCCAAAATCCCATTCCATGTGAGTCATGGCTTTGCATGTCCTGTCATCCCCTAACACACTTACCAGAGAGTCGCTCCGATAGCTGTCAAAGCAGTCCTCTTCTTTAAAGCCAATCCTTCTCTTCTCAAATGTTGTATTTCGGCAGTGAATCTGTGCTCGTTCCCTTTCTTCTAGAGGGTTTAACAAACCTTGACTTGGATTTGGCTCTGATCAATCAATCAAAACTGTTTGGTCTCCTCTTATATAACTACAGGCAGACAATATGAGAAAAAAAGAATGTGTCTTTTGAACATTAAAGCATGTAATCATGTTCTAGTGGAAACCAAAAAATGCTAGTATGAATCTGAAATATGTCCTTTTGATTCCACGGTCTCTATGATTTCATTTTAGGTCCAGGGGCAAGTGGCTTAGGAGTCGAACATAGAAGGAGCAGAAACCTTCGGCGGACTGTTTGGGGGCAGGGCAGATTGACTTTCTGGAGGGCGACTTATCCATACTATATAGAATGCCAGAAAAAGATTTAGCATGTCCCAATATGTAAAATGCAGTATTTCCCAAAATACCAGGATGTCCTTCTACATCCGGTTGCATTTTGCAGTATGCAAATGACCCGGCTGGAGGTTGAGAGCGGATATGGAACTTGGAACTTGCAGCAGCCGGTGACAGGCATGCTGGGGGTTAACATGCAGAAGGCTACCCAATTGGGGTGCTGACTGGAGGCTAGGAGGCTAGAATGTAGCCTGGGGCCTTGCAGACTGCAAACTAAGACGAATAGACTGGAGTTGAGACTGGCTGCAAGCAGTCTGGGAAGCCAACTGGAGGTTGGCTCACTAGGAGGAAGGCTGGAAATCAGGGGTGTTTAAAAAATCCTTCAGCCACTCAGGTAGAGAATGGCTTAGTTTTCCAGTGTGCCACCTTTGGAAAAACATCCTTGTACTTCCAACTATGGGCTCTCTTCCATTCTCCATATAAACAGATGAGAGAGTATGACAAATCATTAAGTTTAACCTGAAAAGAGTCTGCTGGGTCCATACCGGTTCAGGTTGTGTTGTGAGCAGGCAGGTAACAGACGAATGCAGAAAACAAACCGGGAACACAAAACCACTGGTAAACTAACACCAATAACAGGCTGGACTTCTCACAAGGAGCGATGACCAACTGACAATGTAACAAGGGAGGCACACAGAGCAAATACCCAAGAGGAAGGTGAGTATATCAAAATAAAACAGGAAACACTAAACGAATGAATGAGACCAGAGAACACAACAGAAAACACAAACCTAAACCCAAATCCTCTACACAAAACAGAACTGATAAAGGTCCAGACCGTGACATAGAGAACTAATAGGCAATTTACCAAATGTTAAAATCACAGCTGGCTGACTGAATCCACGTATCAATTCTACAAACAATCGTAGTCTGATCTTTACTCTCGATCGTTGACAACGGGCTCAGTTGGCGGACTCTGGCGGGCTGGTTGCTATGGAAACCGAGTGCTCAGTTACTCACTCCATAAACTGAATAAGTTTTGGGATCGACGTGAACAACAGTGACAGTCCACACTGCAGCAGATATGAGAGAGACTTCCCCACACGTTTTCAACCTGGTGTTTCATTGAGGTGACATTATGAATACTAATTATAAAAGGCGAACCTCTGGGGAAAATGATGTCATGTGACATGTGACATGTACACTATGTATACCTACACAAACACAGTATTTATCATTGAGGTAAATGATACAGATGTTGTTGTTCTGATGTTTTCTCTTCAGACCTTTTGATGCAACAGACAGCATTATAGGCAGGCGAGCACAACTGGTAGATCTACATAGATTTTGTGTTTGCTTAGTTTTATTAATCTGTTTCATTTACAGTTGTCCTACAACTTTTGATCCACAGGGGCAGTCAAAATATTATTTACCAAAATCGTTTATATTCGTAAAACCTGCCTTTAGCTGTGGTTAAAGTTTCAGATGGGGAAGATTTCCATTCGCATATTCACTTCAACGTTGCCAAATCCCCTAATTGCATTTTAAATCACATTTGCCGTTTTAAATGCTGGTGTGAGCTAAAACTAAATCAAAAATGAGTGCCAAAAATTCAACACATTGTCATTCTGCCGAGGAGCAATGACCAAATATTAGTACTTGACGAGTTGGGACTGAAAACGGTTTGCAAAATTACAACACATCCACATGCAACGTTCCGTATCATTTTTTACGAAAAGTCACTCCTCATTTTTCTGGCAGCAACACGTGTTAATTTGCATTTGT